TTGCCAAAAGAGGATTTCTATTTGATTTTGCATAACTAAATAGCATATTAGTCCTTTCATCATTTGAATACATCTTTGATATGTTCATATAAACGTCTGACAGATCTCAACGGATTGATCAACAACGTATCCGTTTTTCCTGCCATAGAAACCAAGCAAAGCCTACGCGTTTTAGATGGTAAATGAATTGAGATGCTATTTGATCATACCAAATTATACAACAATCGAATTTTGACCAAAAACTGATATTTTCTTTCCTTTTAGGATTGAGAATAATAAAAATTTTAGGAATTATAATTGATTAGGGAAAAATAAGCCTTAAAAGAAGGATTATGGCAATACAAAATTTTCCAAAACGAAAAAGTACGAATTTTCATTGTGTTAGAGAACCCACCTGTCTAAATTATTGGGTTGTCTGTATTATATTTTGAAGAAATCGAAACAATCTACAAAAGAAGTAACGACAGGACCGTAATTTGAAATTGTTGTCGCTGATGATGGTAGTTATTTCTAATGAAACGCTATGAAAATACCAAATGTGTTATACTTTTCGATAGTGAATTTATTGCTTCATCAATATCTGTTATAAAAAAGACAGGTCCGTATTTAAAAAAAGTTGATGTTGGCCATGTTGACACATCGTCATAGTACACTTTGAATACAATTTTTTTCCATTTTCCATTTCCATTTTTCGATATTCTCCGAAATAACAATTCCAGTCGAAAAAACGAAAAACAGCATTATTGGTTTTCCTCTGAAATAATGGGCAGCAATCACATTGTTTCATGTTACCTTCGTATTTTCGATAGTTTTCTGATTGTAGATGGTGAAAAAATCAGGAAAGCAACAAGAAACACTGACTCTCCCACAAAAATGTATACAATGGATAATTCGTAATTGGAAATGTTGACATTCCAAATGCACTCTCAAGAATAATGAGGATGCATCTTAAAATAGATGTTTGAGCTATAGTTAATGTATTTGGTGATAATAGAGTCACAAGCAGATACTATAGCGCAACTCAGATTCATCTTGTTTTCAGATTTCTAAACATATAATGAGTAGCATTTGTTTTAGAAATTGAACTTCCATAATGTGTATGTGATTTCAAGTGTTCGTACATGTGAATGAGTAGGCATTGAGGAACAGATGGTATGAAATATAACCCGAAACATTTCGAAGAAGATATGTTGACTAGAAATACTCAAAACTCACTCTGAAGTGAACATCTTCAAAATATCTTCATAGTTAGTGCTATAATAGAATGTAAATTATCAAATTCATTTTCGAACTCGGCTACAATTAGACAAAAGTTACTGCTATGAACTATATCCATACAACAAACAGAGTAACCCAAACAAGGATACATGCGTGATCAAATATACTCCCTATACTCCACCTAAAATATATTCCTATATACAGCCGCAATTTATTAAAAAAATAAAATTTTGGTCGTTTCTCAGTGCGACTCTGTACAAGCAGCCTTGTCTGGTAGATCACATGCACTACGCATGATAATGATTTGGGACATTGTGTTCCTGAGGTAAACAGAGTATAGTATTGAATGAACTTACCGTAATGATGATACACACTGGGATCATCTGGAGCCAGTCTTTGAGCTTTACGGAACCATTGCTCTGCTTCAGTGATTCTGCTGACCTGTAAACGAAATTTCATTTTCAATTTCATACCAATTTGTAGTAAATGACAGTTTTCCTACTAGAAAAACAACCAATAATTTCACTTTTATTGATCATTTCCCAATATATACAAACTGAAACGAATGACTCAAGTAGAACTTCAGATACTTATATCGCAGTAAAAAGATATGACACCGAAAAACTCAAAGGTGGTCGATACATTTAAATGATACAAATCAATTGTGTCCAAATGTCAATAACCGATATGATGAACTTCATCATATCGGTTATCATATCATATCATATCATTTCTTGGTCATGAGTCATGCGTATTTTCTTGGAAAAAATACTGATTGCTGAACCCTCAGTGAACAGAAACGGCAAAGCACATTTTATTTGGAAAAGTAGAAGAATCTTAGAAATA